TTTTGCCAGGTGTGCTTAGCTGAAGTATTAGGTTATTATCTTAGCTGTGAATACTAAGATAGGTTTGGGTCAGCATATGTTTGCTGAAAAGGGCATAAACAGGGTTTTGATTGATGACTTAAGACTACTCTTATTGTCAAATTATCACTCAGAATTTACTGATGGATCCCAACAGGCTCAATCTCTGAGGAAGTTAAGGAGAAAAAGGGAAAAGGAGAAGGAAAAGGAGAGCATTTCTATTCAGATTATGCTTATTATTTGGTGCTCAGGACGATAGTTATGCCCTAGTGTTTGTCTAGATGACTTGTGTAACAGGGTCATAAAATTAGGGCACATGTTGAAAATAAACAAATCAAAAATAGAAGTGTCTCTGGTTCCTTTTGAGGTTCAGAGAGAACATCAAAACAAAGGAGGCATACATGTAAATGGATTTAAAATTAGCTGACTGCTATTATTAAAACAAGGTAATCAATCTGGTATTAGGAACAAATAGTAGCACTCGTGATCAACTGATTTGTGTTGGGCAACACACCATGTCTGGTCACAGCTGCTGCGTGTTCAGCTCCCATGCTGTTGGCATGCCATATGTGTGCCCCGCCCTCCGTAGCGCATTATTCACTGTGCCACTAAAAGCACCCAATAACTTAATGATTCTTCTCTAGATAGACAGTTAAAATGTAATTAAATGTAGATTTAATTAACTAGTAACTGAGCCATAGCATTCAGGAAGGATACATCTAAGATAGTTAAATTTGCTGAGACGAATTAAAACAGGGGCGTAATTTCCACTGGGGAGAGGGGGAACATGTCCCCCCCACTTTTCAAAATCACGTTTGTGTCCCCCCACTTTAAAATTAATTTTTGAATGTAGCAAAGTGGCATTGGGCAACAGAAACAGTAACACTGGAGAGATGACTACGCCACCCTAGGACTTGCACCCAGGGAAATACTACGCACACTCAGGTGCAACTCAAGGCAACACAGGTTCAAATCTACTTAAATATGAGCAAGAGACGTGGGTACATTCATATATTTTATTTTATTGATTCAATTAATAAATTATTTTGCTAAAAAGAATCACACAATCAATAACCAACTTAAAATGATAATACTACCGGCTGCTGATCTCCAAAATACACAACACACCAAAAGGTTTACAGGGCTGTCGACAACTGGTATCAAACTCCTAAAGAAGCATAAATCTCATTTATCACACACTATCAGTGCACACATTCACACACTCACAATACCCAGTGAGATTACTGTCGGTGATCGACACAGCACGACACTGCACACGGTGACAAGACCGCACCACCACCACCCAAGTGTTGAAAATCTGCCTCCCTGCTTTTTGTTGGACACACAGCACCTGTAAGTAGATAAACCAAATCATCTTAATAAACTACACACCAGCACACTTATTGACACTGAATAAAGAAAAAAATATATAAACTTAACCTCAATTTCTAACAAAATCAAGGACACAACAGAAAAAAAAATAACAATTTCCAACAACTGGTTCAAAAAGACAATGAAAAGAAAAAGCAAAAGCAAATGAATAACCTTTAAAGATGAAATACACACAGAATTAAATAAAACAAATATTAAAGTATAAAGCCAAGATGAACCATCCAACGAAAAGGCAAATAAAAGAAAAGCAACTAATGCACAAAAGCAAAATTAAACTGATACAAAACAAAGCTAGACAAATAAACGAAGAACAACACAGCAGCATATTTCTGTGTACTGATGTTCAGACTAAACCACGTGCACTGCAGCAGGAACCCTCCAACATATTACGGACACTGCAGCAGTCAGCCACGTTAACTTGACAGGGCCAGCGTGAGCACTGAACAGTATAGAAGCAGAAGTTGTCGCTAACAGAAACTAGATAATACAGCCAACCGCCACACCAAAGCAGAGCCAGTACGATGCGAAGCAATGTAGATACAAGGGGCTGCCAGCAACGGGATGCAGAGTAGGCAGTCTGACCAAACACCAGTTGTAAACATTAACCAGTTGACATCTCATACGGCTTTCCAATAGATGCTCAAAATCAACCTTAAGCGAGCAGTGGCTGAATTAGCCACACCGCTAACAAACACGATGTCGAATGCCAGTACCAGAAAGGGGCGGGGGCACCTGAGTGACCCCTCCAACTGACACAAATCAGCCCTTTATTACACCCACCTATGCCTGCTGTTAGGCTAACAATATTCTAACGTCAATACAGGGAGCGGCTAACTACTCTGCCACATTAGGATTTGCCACGGAGGAGCAGGACCGAGCAGGACACAGACGCATGCGACCATGTCCAGGAACGTCGTGTGCACACTCTAAAAATAGCTCATTGAAAGTTCTAATGAGCAGGTGTCGCGGTTGTGGCACAGTCAGCGATGAAACGCCAGAAGCAGCAACAGATGACTTTAATGTCATCATGGATGAAAAGAAAGAAAGAAAGAAGAAAAGAAAGAAAGAAAGAAAGAAAAAGAAAGGAGATGTGAGCTGGTTGATGAACCAACTGTTCAGTGGTTTATATACTGTACCCTAACCCTACTCCTCACACAAAATGTTCTGCTATTCAATAAAAAAAATAAAAAAGAGCATTTTGTATGATTTATAAATTGTTGTCTTCATAAGGATCAATAAATGTCCCCAAAAGGTCAAAATTTACTGGAACACAACAGTGATAGTAAAATGTATATGGTTAATTATCTGCAATGCTTGCCATGTTTGGTAGAGGTGGAGGGTTACAAAATAGGAAAAAAAATGACATCATTATTTACAGAGAGGCCAGTGGCACCGCCTGTGCTATAAAAAAAAGTACCCCATAAAATATGATAAATCAGTGAGCTTGTTTGAAGAGTGACATAAATAAAGAGGGAAGGATGTGGGTAATTCTGTATGTTTGTTTGTTCCTGTCTTGTAACTATATATATGTAGCTTTGATGGCCACTTCAGGAACTTGTAAGCTACAGGGACACTTCACATTGAATGGGATGTACCAGGATGGAGATCTTCTAATTGGTGGTCTGTTTGAGATTCAGAGGTACCTCAAAGTATTCCCTGAGCTAAGCTTCAAAACAGAGCCAAAACTACCACGCTGTGAGCTGTGAGTTTGTGAGCTGTGAGACCACACCAACTGAAGAACGCTTAATAAACAAGATAATAAATGGGGAAATTTTGTATATACACTGTAACTTGTCAATGACAATTTAGTCTAAGCAACTGATATTATGTTACATGATGGATTACAAGAATTAAATCATTCACTGCATATGTTAAATTTACTTATTTATATTAATTATTTTATTTATAAAATGTATATTTGAACAGAATACAAAAATATCTCGTATTAAATTTAAATGTTATGTAATATTTTAATTATTTCTACTGTTACTGTTAGTATTACTGTAGTTAATGATCTAATTTCCCTTTGTATTGTCTTCTCCAGCTTCTATATGACAAGCTTCCAGCAGGCACTAACAATGGTTTTTGCTATCAATGAGATTAATAACAATCCCAACCTGCTGCCTAACATCACGCTTGGTTACCAAATCTACGACAACTGTTTAAGGCTTGGAGTGGCATTCCGTGGTGCCACAGCTCTGGTTAGTGGGACAGAGGAGACCGTCTCTGACCTCAACTGCAAAGGCCCACCACCAGTGATTGGAATCATAGGTGATCCAGGTTCTACCCATTCCATTGCAATTTCCAGTGTCCTGGGGTTGTTTCGACTCCCTATGGTATGAGATAGACATTTTAAAACCTTTTTTTTTCTGTAAAAAAATTCCATGTTACCCCCTTTTTTTGTCTATCACATTTTTTTTGTTTCCATCACAATGAATTTGGTTATCAATTAAGCCATTCTCATATTTTCAATTATAATAGCAGACCACTGTATGCAAATATCAATAACTTGCTTCACACACACTTTTTATTTGTTCATCTTCCTCTCACCTTTCTCTCTCTGTCTCTGCTCTCTTCTAATTAGATTAGCTACTACGCCACCTGCTCCTGTTTGAGTGACAGAAAAAAGTACCCCTCTTTCTTCAGAACAATCCCCAGTGATGCCTTCCAGGTACGGGCTATGGTTCAGATCTTGAAGCATTTTGGATGGACCTGGGTTGGTCTCATCTACAGTGATAATGACTATGGCATCTATGCTGCTCAATCATTCCATCAGGAAATGCATCTAATTGGATATTGTGTTGCTTTTTCTGAAATCCTGCCAAATGATAACAACCCCATAGATATTCAACGCATAATGGGAGTGATTCAGTCCTCTACAGCTAGAGTGGTGATTGTTTTTTCAGCTTCATCCTTACTGATACCTTTGATGAATGAGGTGGTGTTGCAGAACATAACAGGCAGGCAGTGGATTGCAAGTGAAGCTTGGGCTACTTCACCTGTATTTCGCACACTACTTTTCCAGCCATTCCTGGGGGGCACAATGGGCATTGCTATCAGGCGTGGAGAGATCGAGGGGCTTCATGACTTTCTGTTATGTATTCGTCCCAACAATGGTCAAAGAAATGATGTAGTGAGAATCTTCTGGGAGAACATCTTTGGGTGCAGTTTTGAAACTAAGGGTAAAGGGACTGATGGAGAGCAAGTAAAAAAGGTGTGTACAGGACAGGAGGATCTGAGCACAACAAACACACCATACACTGATGTTTCAGGATTGAGGGCATCGTATAATGTGTATAAGGCAATTTATGCCCTGGCACATGCAGTTCATGACCTGATGCAGTGTGAGGAGGAGAGAGGACCATTCAGTGGGAACAGATGTGCCGACATAACCAACCTGAAACCATGGCAGGTAAGACCCATATGTTTAGTGCATTCTCTTTAGGCATATAGAAGAGCTGAATGTGGAAAAGCAAAATATTTGCTATATTAATTCAAATTTCAGATAAAAATATAAAACCTGTCCTGTCTACAAACTGTATAGCTGGTTCACTACCTACAGAAAGTGAACTTCACCACAGGCTTTGGGGATCATGTGTCATTTGATAAGAATGGAGATGCTCTGGCCATCTATGATGTGTTGAACTGGCAGCCGAGCGCTGATGGATCAATTAAGCTCCACAAGGTCGGTGTAGTAAATGAAAGTTCGGCAACAGGGATGGTTCTCACACTCGACGAGGATGCATTTTACTGGAATTTTGAAACAACAAAAGTAATTACCTTTGAATGTTAAAATGCCATCCTTTTTGCAGATATAAAGACTAAATAGTAGTTGAAGCTATGATAAGACAATTGTAAATAAATTAATGGACAATCCAAACTAGTCATTATGTAAAAGACAAACATAACTGACTGCAGTTGATGTCTCTTTTAGCCCCCACAGTCAGTATGCAGTGAGAGTTGCCCCCCAGGAACCAGACGAGCCACAAGAAAGGGCCTTCCTCTCTGCTGTTTTGACTGCTTGCCATGTGGAGATGGAGAGATTTCTAATACAACAGGTGAGGAGATTATTGTTGGCAAAATTTGAATCAAATTTGAAAGTAATGTCCTCTTCAAAATCTCACCTTCTGTCTTTTGCTTACTCAAAGATGCTATTGAATGCACAACATGTCCAGATGAGTTCTGGTCCAATCCAGATAAGGATCAGTGTGTCCCCAAAGAAATAGAGTTTCTATCCTATGAGGATCCTCTGGGCATCTCTCTCACCACTGCTTCCCTGCTTGGCACCTTCCTCTGTGCTCTTGTGATGATCATATTTGCTCTTCACCGTAACACTCCCATAGTACGTGCCAACAATTCAGAACTTAGCTTTCTGCTGCTGTTGTCACTCAAACTGTGTTTCCTGTGTGTGCTACTGTTCATTGGCCAGCCACAGTTGTGGACATGTCAGTTAAGACATGCTGTGTTTGGTATAAGCTTTGTCCTGTGCATCTCCAGCATCCTGGTCAAGACTATGGTGGTAATAGCCGTATTCAAGTCATCTCGACCAGAGGGCAAAGGAGCAATGAAATGGTTTGGAGCAGCTCAACAAAGATGCACAGTTCTGGTCCTAACAGCCCTCCAGGTTGTGATATGTGCAGTCTGGCTATCAACTGCCTCTCCAACACCCCATAAAAACAACCAGTATACTCGCTCTAAAATAGTATATGAATGTGCCATTGGCTCAGTGGCTGGTTTTTCTATGCTGCTGGGATACATTGGACTGTTGGCAGCAGTAAGCTTCCTGTTAGCCTTCCTTTCAAGGAATCTTCCAGATAATTTTAATGAGGCTAAGTTCATCACTTTTAGCATGTTAATCTTCTGTGCTGTGTGGATTGCATTTGTTCCAGCATATGTGAGTTCACCAGGGAAATATGCAGTTGCTGTGGAGATATTTGCCATCCTGGCTTCAAGTTTTGGATTACTGGTGGCCATATTTGCCCCGAAGTGCTACATCATCCTTTTACATCCAGAGAAAAACACTAAAAAAGCCATCATGAGAAGAGAAGCACAAAATAAATAGTTTTACATTATTGTGGTCAACCATCTACAGACACATTGGTGACATTTTGATTAGTATTTTACTTGAATTTTGAAATCTGAATTAAGTTGATATTGTTACAATTATATTATTAACATTTTTGTGTGGAAACAGTTTAAACTTCATCAGCTTCTTTACAATGTGATATAATTTAAAAGCATAACAAATATTTAAAAAAACATTTCTGAATTAAGCATTTTTTAACAGAACATTAATAATTAGAACTATAACGGATATAAAAACAGAGAGGAAAAACATAACATTCTTGGGACCAATTAGCTGATATTTATCCATTATCTAAATACATGTTGTTGATCTTATTGTAAACATTTCGTCCATGCATGTGTTTCAGAATTTTGGTTATGAGCAAGCAGTACCTCATCACACTATTAAAATTCACTCCACACCTGAGTTCATGACCTGACTCTGTGGATTTCCTGTTACAGTTTTAAACAATTACATTTTCCTAATGACAATGTTTCTCTCTCTCGCTCTTTATTTAGTTATGTAGTTCAACAAGTATGAACACGTATTCAAATGTAACCACCATGGACACAAATAATCAGTGGCTTTCAACTGCCTCTCCAACACCCCATAAAAACAAGCAGTATACTCACTCTAAAATAGTATATGAATGTGCCTTTGGCTCAGTGGCTGGTTTTTCTATGCTGCTGGGATACATTGGACTGTTGGCAACAGTAAGCTTCCTGTTAGCCTTCCTTTCAAGGAATCTTCCAGATAATTTTAATGAAGCCAAGTTCATCACTTTCATGCTGGGTACACACTAAAAGATTTGTAAAATCTTATAAGATCTTCAAAATGTGAGAGACCACAAACATGAGAAAACAAAATCCTAGATTTAACCGTTTTGCTCCTATAGTGTGTGGTGTGCCGTGATGTTCCCCCCACACATCAGGATTTCTGATCGTAAATATTCAACATGTTGAATATTTACGATTCGCGATCGGTGCGCCTCTGACGTTCTCAAGAGCAGATTCAGTCACTCTTAAAGCAGCACTATGTAACTTTTTCTGTGTTAAAAATTTGCAAAATGTATATAATGAGCGAGTACATCATGAATTCATCTTCCAACCCGCGTTTTTTGTCTTATTCCGAATCACTACGGTACACTTATAATAAGTACATATATTTGGACTATTGCAGCCTGGTCGGGTCGTCATCGCTGCAGAGTAACACATACCTGCGTGAATCGCCATAGACATAAACTTAGAGAAGTAGCTCCGGTTGGAATGTTCTTCCGCGGGATGTGTGCAGTTCTGTTTATTAACCGCTAGAGCGCCAAAAGTTACATAGTGCTGCTTTAACACACCTCACACCACAGAAAATCTGATAAGATAATCTTTAGAACCAGGAAGGGGAGAAATCGGCCCAAAATCTGCCCGATTATCTTGTGGTGTGTACCCAGCATTGGCGTGTTAATCTTCTGTGCTGTGTGGATTGCATTTGTTCCAGCATATGTGAGTTCACCAGGGAAATATGCAGTTGCTGTGGAGATATTTGCCATCCTGGCTTCAAGTTTTGTATTACTGGTGGTCACATTTGCCCCGAAGTGCTACATCATCCTTTTACATCCAGAGAAAAAACACTAAAAAAGCCATCATGAGAAGAGAAGCACAAAATAAATAGTTTTACATTATTGCGGTCAACCATCTACAGACACATTGGTGACATTTTGATTAGTATTTTACTTGAATTTTGAAATCTGAATTAAATTGATAGTTACAATTATATTATTATTTTTTTTTGTGTGGAAACAATTTAAACTTCATCAGTCTCTTTACAATGTGATATAATTTAAAATAATAACAATTATTTAAAAAAAAAACACTGAATTAGCATTTTCATTAGATTACGGAGATAAAAACAGAGAGAAAAAACATAACATTCTTGGGACCAATTAGCTGATATTTATCCATGATCTAAATGCATGTTGTTGATCTTATTGTAAACAGTTCATCCATGCATGTGTTTCAGAATTTTTAATCAAAATGTCATAACTTGGTCTTCTGGTGAAATTACAGATTTCTCTTGGTTGACATATTCCGGTCTTCTCCAATCACTTTTCCCCAGTTTACTTAAACCACATCCACTATCAACTACAAGCTTGCATTCAGATGTCTCTCTATTGTTGAATGTTACACCTGTCAGGATCATGGACTGTCTGTGTCATGTTTTGCCCCTGTTCCTGTTCCCTTATTTCGTCATGTTCCTGTCCTTGTTTTGTAAATTAGTCATCCCATACACCTGCGTTTCCCCAATTATCCCCTGTATTTAAGTCCTAGTCTGTATAGTCTGTCTCTGCCGGTTCTACTTGTTATGTTCATGTGTTTCCTGCCGTTGCCAGTGTTGGATGTACCCTGTGTTTCTTTGATTAAAGACTGTTTCATTTATTCCTCGTCTCCATCGTTCCTTGCCATCACAGATTGTGACAACACCCTCATCTCAAAATCCAACTATTTTTATTCTTTGACCAGCATTTCTCAACAGGGCATTCAGAGAACAACGGTAAATCTTGCAGCAACATTTTGAAAAGGGTTTGTTCACAATTCACCGCAAAATGAGCTGAAACTTGTAACTAATTCTCAGAATATGAATAGGCAAACAAGTGATTTACAACAAATTTTAATGGGAAACAAATGAATGACAGAAAGTGATAGTCTTGCCAGATCTGTGCTAAAATAAAAACCGCGAACCAAACCGCTCCGTCTCGGGCTGTCTGCAGCTTGGCTTAGGCAACCGGATCTCCAAGCTCCACCTTGGACACTCCTTCTCAGCCTGCGGAACCATTGGCTCCACCTTGGCTCCTCGCTCTTTTGTCTCCACCGTGGATTGTCATCCCACAGCCTCTGCCGGGATTCCTCATCTCTCTGGTTCTGCCTTGGCTGGTCATCACCCTAATTTTGCCTTGAGCTTCTGGACCTCTCACTGCGCCTCAGCCCTCCACACCTTCGGCTCCACTCCTCTTTCCCTATGGCTACACTTTTGTGAAAGTATACTTTATTGCCCCTGAAAGGAAATTTGTTATAGACTTCATGATGCTGCACAGACCAAAAAAATAAAAATAAAAAAATCACAAAGACATCAAACATTACCACATATCTTCAATGCTAACATACCATCAAGCTAAACTGCTATTAAACATTCACAAAGATAGAGGTACAAAATAATTAACATATCTATTTAATTTACAGACTAGAACGTCATATCTTATCCCAGAGGGAAGCAATTCATAATGTAAATTCTAAAAAATATTGAAAATATTCTGCACCTAATTTAGCATATCTTAATAGCTGATTCGATTAATTCTGGACAGATTTTGGTTTTGAAAACATCAGATGACAAATGATCGTATTTGTATATATATATACAGGTGCATCTCAATAAATTAGAATGTCGTGGAAAAGTTCATTTATTTTAGTAATTCAACTCAAATTGTGAAACTCGTGTATTAAATAAATTAAATGCACACAGACTGAAGTAGTTTAAGTCTTTGGTTCTTTTAATTGTGATGATTTTGGCTCACATTTAACAAAAACCCACCAATTCACTATCTCAACAAATTAGAATACTTCATAAGACCAATAAAAAAACATTTTTAGTGAACTGTTGGCCTTCTGGAAAGTATGTTCTTTTACTGTACATGTACTCAATACTTGGTAGGGGCTCCTTTTGCATGAATTACTGCATCAATGCGGCGTGGCATGGAGACAATCAGCCTGTGGCACTGCTCAGGTGGTATGGAAGCCCAGGTTGCTTTGATAGCGACCTTCAGGTCATCTGCATTGTTGGGTCTGGTGTCTCTCATCTTCCTCTGAGGATGAAGTTTCGGCGGGGCTGCCCCCCTCGGGTGTTGTCGCCACCGCCAAATCGGACCCAGAGCTGACGACCATGCTTGCCCAGGCAGCCGTGAGTATCGGGCTGGCAGTCAACAGACCGCCCAGTCCCGAGCCCTCGCGGCTGGATGATTGGTTTCTTGGAGCGGGACGTGGCTCACAACCACGCTCTGCTCCAGTGCCTTTTTTCCCGGCGGTGCATGAGGAGCTGACGAAGTCGTGGATGGCTGTAATCCTCACTACCCTCGATGGCGGGGCGGCCAGGGGGTAAGTTGACATTCCCCAGGTGGAGAGAGCATTTGCGGTGCACCTGTGCCCGCAAAACGCCACCACTTGGAGGAATCGTCCGCGTCTCCCGTCCAAAGCCTGTAAGCTGACAGCTGCTTTTGCGGCCAAGGCTTACAGTGCTGTGGGCCAGGCTGCCTCTGCCTTGCATGCTATGACCATCCTGCAAGTTTACCAGGCTAAGGCACTCAAACAAATGCATGAGGGTAAGTCTGACCCGAGGTTGATGCAGGAGCATTTGGCGACTAAAGTCACGGCGCGGTCCCTCGGGAAGGCGTTGTCCACTATGGTGGTCCAAGAGCGCCATCTCTGGTTCAACCTGGCAGAGATGAGAGATGTCAACAAAGTACGCTTTCTCGACGCTCTTGTCTCTCAGGCTGGTCTGTTAGGCGACACTGTCGAGGACTTTGCCCAGCAGTTCTCGGCAGTACAGAAGCAGACCGAGGCCATTCAGCACATCCTGCCCCGGCATGAGGCACCAGCCACCGCTCTGCCGCGGGCCAAGCCTCAGATTGCTCATCACCGTGGGCGCCCTCAACCCGTCCCGTTGGCTCATTCGCACAATCCGACTCGGCTATGCGATTCAGTTCGCCAGGCGACCTCCCAGGTTCAGCGGCATTCTCGTGACTTTGGTGGCAGTCCGAGACGCACCTGTCTTGCACGAGGAGATTGCTGTCCTCCTGGCAAAGGATGCAGTCCTCCCCTTCGGGATGTCCCTGTCGCCCCGCGTCTTAACGAAGGTGGCGGAGGGCGCTCTTGCCCCGTTACGGGAAGTGGGCATCAGGATCCTCAACTATATCGATGACTGGCTCTTTATGGCCTGGTCACAAGAACAGTTGTGCG